TATTTATTTTTGAGGCATTATGGGCTGGAGCGATAGCATAGCAGGTAGGGCGTTTGCCTTGCATGCGGCTGATGTGGCCGACCCGAGTTCAATTCCTCCGCCCCTCTCAGAGAGCCCGGCAAGCTGCTGAACTATCTCGCCCTCACGGCAAAGCCTGGCAAGCTACCTGTGATCTATTTGATATGTCAAACAAAGTAACAGGTCTCACAATGTTACTGGACCCGATTCAGCAAATCAATGAACAATGGGAGGACAGTGACAGTGACAGAGGCATTATGATACTGTCCATGATAGGTGTTCAAACATAATAATAATAATAATCACACAATGATTCACCACCATACACTCCACCAGAGAAGTCCACTTCCTTATACCACTGTCTCTGTGTCCCCTTCCCCTTCCTTTGAAAAGCACAGTTCTGTTAGACTGGTCCTGGTGACCATTTGTATCTGAGAGAACTATAGACAGTTCTAACAAATAATAACTAAAACTGAACCTTTCACAGCTACTCTCTGCCATTTCTTTTATTTATGTGTCCCAAATCTTCCTAATTTTTGTATTATTTCTGCTGGACCACTATCCACTCGATTGAATAAACACAATCTCAGATTCCAACTTCACTAATGACATCCAATCAAGCATAAAACTTTCAAGTATACCTTATGACCGTCTCACTCCAATCTCAGAAATTCATTTTTTTTTATATTCTAGTTCAATGGATTCCTAACTAATTTCTCTGTTCTAAGTCTTAACTACCTCAAATTCATTCTGTAGGTTGCCACTAGAATGATGTTTATTTTTAATTTTTTTAGTCACTATGAATTACAAAGTTGTTCATGCTTGGGTGTCAGGCATACAATGTTCCAGCAGCACCAATCTCTTCACCAGTGTCCACTGCTCTCTACCAATGTCCCCAATTACCACCACATCCCCAGCCACCATCCAACAGCTAGTTGCTCCTATGACATGCACTTTACTTGAATTATAAATTTTAGGTGCTGCAGTTTTCATTAACTGTTACTGACAGAGTTTCATGCTTAATATATATATATATATAATTTTATTGAATCACTCTGAGATAGTTACAAGCTTTCATGTTTGGGTTACAATCACACAATAATCAAACACCTTTCCCTCCACCAGTGCACATTCCCCACCACCAATATCCCCAGTATACCTCTCTTTTTCCACCCTCCCCCTAACTCCATGGCAGACAATATTCCCGATACTCTCTCTCCACTTTTAAGCATTATGGTTTGCAGTACAGACACTGAGAGGTTATCATTTTTGGTCCTTTCTCTACTTTCAGCACACATCTCCCATCCTGACTGGTTCCTCAAGCCATCATTTTCTTAGTGATCCCTTCTCTATTCAAGCTATCTTCTCCCCTTTGCTCATGAGGCAGGCTTCCAGCTATGAAGTAATCTTTCTGTCCCATGTATCTACTATCTTTAGGAGTCAGCTTCATGTTATGTTGTATTGTACTCCACAAATGAGTGCAGTCCTTCTATGTCTGTCCCTTTTTTTCTGACTCATTTCACTTAGCATGATACTCCATGTCTATCCATTTATAAGCAAAGTTCATGACTTTATCTCTCCTGACAGCTGTGTAGTATTCCATTGTGTAGATGTACCAAAGTTTCTTTAACCAGTCATCTGTTCTAGGGCACTTGGGTTGTTTCCAGATTTTGGCTATTGTGAACAGTGTTGCAATGAACATATAGGTAAAGATGTCATTTCTACTGTGCTTTTTTGCATCCTTGGGATATATTCCCAGAATTGGTATTGCGGGGTCATATGAAAGCTCAATTTCTAGTTTTTGAAGGACTGTCCATATTGTTTTCCAGAAAGACTGGACTAGTGGTCATTTACATCAACTGTGAAAGAACTTCCCTTTTTCTCCACATCCACGCCAGCACTGGTAGTTTTTGTTTTTTTAATGTGTGCCAGTCTCTGTGGTATGAGATGATATCTCATTGTTGTTTTGATTTGCGTCTCCCTGATGGCTAGCAATGTGGAGTACTTTTTCATGTGCCTTTTGGCCATTTGTATTTCTTTTTTGAGGAAACTTCTGTTCATTTCTTCTCCCCCTTTATTTGATGGGGTTGGAGGTTTTTTTCTTGTACAATTCTACTAGTGTCTTGTATATCCTGGATATTAATCCCTTATCAGATGGGTATTGGGTAAATATTCTTTCCCATTCTGTGGGCTCTTTCTGTATTTTGGTCACTGTTTCTTTTGAAGTGCAGAAGCTTCTTAGTTTGATGTAGTCCCATTTGTTTATGTTTGCTTCCACTTGCATGGTCAGTGCTGTTTCATCCTTAAAGATGCTTTTAGCTTCAGTGTCGTGGAGAGTTCTGCCTACATTTTCCTCTCTGTACCTTATGGATTCATGTCTGATATTGAGGTCTTTAATCCACTTTGATCTAACTTTTGTGCCTGGCATTAGACAGAGTTCAGAGTTCATTTTTTTTGCATGTAGCTATCCAGTTTTACTAGCACCACTTGTTCAAGAGGTTTTTCTTGTTCCACTTCATATTTCTTGCTCCTTTGTCAAAGATTAAGTGGTCATATATTTGGGGGTCTGTGACAGAATATTCAACTCTGTTCCATTGGTCTGCAGATCTCTTTCTAGCCCGGTACCATGCTGTTTTAATTACTATTTTACCACCAATTAGCACCCCGTCCTCCTTCAGAACCCTTCCCTTCCCCACTGTTGCAGTGTTCTCTTACCTGTCCTACCCCCCCACAGCACCCAAAGTGGCAAGTTCCCTACTGAAGATTAGTTCTCATGTTATTTGTTTCTATTGTGTTTGGGCATTTGTTCTTCCCCAACTTTATATTATGCAGGTGAAGGAGCTCATTCTGTGTCTATCTCTCTCCCTCTAACTTTACTCAGCATATTACTCTCTAGATCCACCCATTCAACATAGCAGTAAATTGCAAGATTTCACCTTTTCTTATGGCCAAATAATACATTATGCATATGTACCATAGATTTGTTTATCTAATTATCTGTTCTTGGGCATTTGGGCTCTTTCTGAATTTTGGCTATTGCGAATAGTGCTGCAATGAACAGAAGAGTGCAGATGTCTTTTCTACATTGTTTTTGGTTCCTTGGGGGATATATTTCAAAAATTAGAATTACTGGGGCAAATGGGAGCTCAAATCTTAGTATTTTGAGAAATGTCCACATTGTTTTCCAGAGAGGCTAGACAAGGTGACATTCCTACCAGCAGTGAATAACCTTTTTCCCTTAAGCCATAGCAACACTGGTTGTTCTTGTTCTTTTTGATGTGTGCCAGTCTCTGTGGTGTTTTATCTCAATGTTGTTTTTACTTGCATTTCCCTGATGATTAATTATCATCAGGAAATGCAGAGCGTTTTTTTTCATATGTCTTTTGGCCATTTGTATGTATTCTGTGAAGAAGTTTCTGCTCATCTCTTCTCCCCAATTTCTGGTGGGACTAAATTTTTTCTTTCTTGTAAAGTTCTATCAGTGCTTTATATGTCTTAGATGATAGCCCTTTACCACTCCACAGATTATCTTTTTATTTGGTCATTGCTTCCTGTAAGGTGTAGAATGATACTTTTAACATGCAAATCTGTATTTGTCAAGCCCAGGATTATCTCCTCCAGGAGATCTGCTTATATAAGTAGATCTAGTTCAGTCCAGTACACTCTCCTTGACCTGGATCCTTTCTCATTAAAACTTATGTTCCCAGACTACACCATACCTTTTCCATTATTTCTTCTGTTGGAAAGTGTTATGCTGAGATCAGCTATCTACCGAGTACACACTGTTTCATGCTCAAGCCCCACTTCTAGAATGACATATTCTGGAACTTTTCTTGGACTTCCCCAGGGCAGATTTATTTATTTGTTCCTTCACAGTCTCTTGCAATTGCCTCTTGCAGGTATCTCATCTGTTAGCCTGAAATTCCTCAAGGGCGAGTTTTACCTATTCAATCTCCCTTCTGTGGTGAATATTAAAATGCTCATCATGAAAATTAGCACTCACTACTAGCTGGATGAGCAAATGAGACATGACAGGTCTAACTGTTAGAACACTTAATTATGATGTGGTATTTTCAAGAAAAAAAAAGAAAAGCAACATTATTTGGTCTAAGAGCTGATGTCAGAATAATAAAAGTTGTTATGTGAGGACACTGTGCTTATTAGCTTCTTTACTGAAGTACTCAAGTATCAGAAGACTATTGACTGATATTTCTGAGGGATCTGATGGTACAAGAGTGCAAAATAGAACATTTCCCTAATATTATACCTCAATTACTTTTAAACTTTAAAATTAATTTTGTTTTTGAGTTACACTCTGTGGTACTCAGGACTTAGTCCTGGCAGTCCTGGCTCTGTCCTCAGAGATTATCCCTTCAGGGGTGGGGGGGCCCAGGGAACCCTGTGGTGCTAGGGATCAAACGGGGGGCCCAGGGAACCCTGTGGTGCGAGGGATCAAACCTGAATCAGCTGCAAGCAACACAAGTGCCCCACCTACCATATCTTTCTGTGCCTTAAAATTGAAATACTTAAAATTACTAGTAGGCAAATGGACTTCTCCTGGAAGATAGAACATTATTCTAGTAATCTTTGGCATGAGTGTGTAGAACACTATTCTAGTAACTTCTGGCATAAATGTGTAACCCTCACCTATGATAATTAGTGTCAGGACCACAGATACAGACACAGTGTAGAATAAAATAGCATCCTAAAGTCTCAAGTTGTACTTGGGGTCTTTGTTCATTACTTCAGCTATGAATGGGGCATAAATTTAATCTCTCTGGGCCTCCTCAGTTTCCTTATCTGGGAAATGGTCATTACAATATTTGCCTTGCATGATACATAATGTTGTTGCCAATATCATCATGAGATAAAAATAAAAACAATGAAGGATATTAAGTATGAAAAATAAAGTAATATTTCTCTATAAGGAATAAATTCAAAGTAAAAATCAATATATACTACATATTCTTGAAAATATTTACCTTTGGAGAAGCTAAGAAAGCTTTTTCTATTTTGTTTTTTGTCTTGGGTGTTGAAAGTGAGGATCGATCCTTTATCTCTGGAGGCAGTTCTTGATATAGTGCTGAAAGGGGAAAAAAAAATTTCTGTAATTAAATCAAGGAACCCTCTTCCATGGGGAGGGGAGGGCCAACACTGGATAGGATAGGAACAAAACTACAGAAGTGAACACACACATCCCAGGTATCCAATTAACTGAACTGAACTTGTTGAGATAATGTGTAGTCTTGCACAGTAGTAAAAAAAAAAGTACAACTTATGAGTAGACATTTTGACAAGTATGATTTTAGAAATGGATGAGGGGCATTTAATTCACTATGTGATCATGTGGATATTAATTTAATTTTATATCATCCATATTTCCCAGGAACCTAAGAGACATGCAAGTTATCTCCTAGGTACTGTGGGAGCAGATGTGAAGAAAGTCAGAGTTTGCATTCTCCAGGAGCTTACAATTGGGTCAGAGACAGGTATGTTTGCAAGAAAATAAGACATTATTTGAAAGATAATAAAGCTAAAATGTAGTAGGTCTGAAGAATGGGTAGGATGTGAACAGGCGGAGGTGTGGAGAAAATATAATTTAGAAAGGCTGTATGAAATCAGTAAGCACAGGGCAAGGACTATACCAGATAGAGTCTCCATTTCCTATGCTGAGTCTAAGATTATAATCTATATAATCTATACACAGCGCTGAACTAAAAAATTATGCTGAATTAAAAAGTTGAAAAAGAAAATCTATTTTGGCTAAATGATTTGGGCAACTCTGAATTGAAATATGCCTGATAAAAATCTAAGATGATCAGATATATTAATTGGCTTTGCATTTGGGTTGATTTTATTACCGGGTTTCTTTATCTCTTACTGGAAAGGATGTTAGATGTGATTAAGGGAAGCTGATCATATTTTTCTTTCCAGTGGTTTAAGATACAAAGGAAATAATTCCTTTAGAATAATGAGGCACAAACTTCTTTTACTGTGTTGTTCTCTTAGAGGACATGGCATTCAATAAAACAGTTGGAAGAGATTTTCTTCATATATATACTCCCTTAGATCATTTGCTTTGCATAAATAGCTTCTGATAAAGATAAAGGGCAATTTCTCCTACTATTTTTAGAGTGGAGCATGCTGCTGACAGTGATTTTTGCTTTCCTTTGAAAAATGGGAAAGTTTTTGTTAAATTCAAGTAAAAAGTAGAATAAAAGGGAAAGAAAGGCAACCCCCGATGAAGTGAGAATTCAACTGTTATCTTCTCAGTTCTGAGAAGTTTTTTAATTTGTTCTTCCCTTTACAAGACTTTTTCAGCAAGTAGAGACTGAGACTACAAATATATCAACTATTCTGAGCTACAATAAGAATTATGGCATTTAAAGAATAGTCATGACTTGAGAAATGGAATTAATTTCCTCCTGTAGCTACCAACCACACTACAGTATGCTTTAGAAGTCTCTTCAATTATATGAAAAAAAAAAAAAGATTTTACTGGATTTCTAATCTACTCTAGAGCAAGCATCTACAATTGCTCACTGTCACTTTCACTGTTCTCCCGTTGTTCATCGATTTGCTCCAGCGGACCCACTAACGTCTCCATTGTGACAATTGTTACTGTGTTTGGCATATCGAATGTGTCACTGGTAGCTTGTCACAGGTAGCTTGCCAGGCTTTGCCGTGTGGGCAAGATACTCTCTCCGAGAGGGGCAGAAGAATCGAACTCGGGTCGGCCATGCTGGCTGCTTGCAAGGCAAATGCCCTACCAGCTGTGCTATCGCTCCAGCCCCAGCTTAGTGCACTTTTGAAGGGAGTTGACTGCATGTGGAGGCCAGCTGGCAAGTGGAACCACAGTGAAACAGAGACACCTTGGCCTGGGAGCCTGGAGCAGCCCTAAAGTACAGACAGGCTCTTACTTTGTTTTCAGTTTGGGGGTCTAGCTGTGGTCATGGCTTACCTTTCACTCGCTTCTGCTGTGGTTCAGGGGTCATATGTGGTATTGGGATCACACTAGGGTCAACTGCATGCCAAAAAACTGCCCTACCCACTGCTGAACTCTCTCTCTCTCTCTCTCAGTCCCAGAGAAACAATGTTATCAAGACCTGGTTTTCACTTGATATTTGGAAATTCATAGAAGAAATTCCTCTTCTCCCTTGTTTTCATTTAGTTTTCTCTGAAACTGCAGAACCTAGCTTAGAGTCAGAAGTATGTTAGTTCATCTATAATTCGAATTAACTGGTATTTCAGAGAAAAACTTAAACCATCTGTTCTTTAAAATGATTGCTCTGCAAAAAAAAAAATAAACTTAACAAGGAGAGTTTTGCCAAGTGACTAAACTAACATTTAAAACATTTAAAATCAAGAGTGATTCTGAGGAGCTGGAGAGATAACTCAGGAGTCATGGGCGCATGACTTCATGAGTATGATTCCCAGTGTGACAAAGCCCCCAAAGCACTGCCAGATGTTCTGTAGAACACCAAGTCCTTTCAGGTGTGGCTCTTGTGGGTCCATCTTTGGGTCTAAGCAAGTAGCCGTTCAGTCTGACTGGCCAAGTATTGCTTGGAGTGGCATCCACGACCTTTCAAGTGCTGCTTGGGAGGCCATCTCCATCTCCCATCCCCCCAAAAGGCTATATTATTTTAGTCTTTCTAGAAGATTAGAAATGATAGGTCTCAGATTCATTATGTAGGATGAAACTGTCAGGGTAGAGTCAGAAGTCTGTGCAGTTCCCCCTGCCCCACAGTCCATTGCCAGTATTAAGCCTTTCCTACCACATTATCAGGTTAATTTCTGACAGAAAGAAGTCTTCTGAAGCACAACTCTCTATTCTTCTCACCCTTTAATTTTGGGCTCTCTATGTTGCTTCTGCTTTCACCTCTTAAGGCCCAGTTGTACGACTACAACTTTCAGAGGTTCATAATAGTATTTCTCCAGCTCATATTTTTTTTTCTGCCCACAAATTAGGGATGATTTATGTGAGAATAAAATGATCCACTACAATTTAGCAGGTAAAAGCTATGGCAGAAGTTTAGAAAGGAAAACAAGATGAGTTGGGGGCCTCGAGGGTCTTAATGTGCCTGTGGGCCAGAGAGTGGCAGGAGAGGAGGTGAAATAATGGTGTGTATGCAGCAGTTGGCAGGGAAGAGGGGCTGAAGAAGGTTCGCAGCTACAGGCGCAGATCTCTGTCCAAATACTTCAATCTCAGAATGTACAGGCTCTCCAGTGTCTCCTCCACCTTTTCTTGCACCTTGAGAATGAAACACAGGCAAAAACTACAAAGCGAGTAAAGGGTAGAAAAATGATAAAATCTTGGACAATCAGTTATACCATATTAGTAAACCAGGAAGGGAGTATAAAACTTACTTTCACTAGCCACATGATTAGCTGGAAAGTAACCTTCCTGTCCCTTCCCTATGCTGCCGTACCACCAGTCTTCATTATCTTTGAAAAACACTCGGATAATGTCTCCGCGATGGATGGTTAGTTCATCTGATCGATTTGCTGTGTAGTCATAAAGAGCCACTACCTACGAGAGAGATAAGACCACCACAGCTTTATCACAACTGTACCACAGAGAAAACCCCCAACATTCACTTCCTCTTGCAGAAGGGCAGCTGAAACCAAAGTAGTACTTTGGTAAGTCTGAGGCTGTCTCAGGGTTTGCTAATGGGATGAGGGGTGGTGGGAACACAGCAGGAGAAGCGAGATAAAAGACTGTGGGATTGAGAAATGGTTAAGAGCATTCAATACACTAAGATTAGCTTCAAAATAGCAGATGTTAATTTTTTTAAAAAGTAAATTACTTGCAAATGAAAAAAATAAAAAGAAGCTCACACATCACTCACTTTCTCAGAATTGTATTATACTACCTTTACATCCCATTTTCCGGGTTATACAGACACATCTGAAAACATATTCTTCAGAACATTAAAGTTTACACAAAGGAAAAGCACAATGTAGCAACCTGATTACCTAGATTCATTATTATCACTTGGTTTATTGTTAATTCAACTATTTTATGGTATCCACATATGCTTCTGATTTTTACCTTTTTTTTCCCTTTTGGGTCATTGTCCATGTACTCCTGTATTTGTGCTCAGGATTCACTCCTACTAGTATTGGGGTTCCATATGCAGTGCCAGGGATTGAACCCAGGTCAGCTGCATGAAAGGCAAGAACCTAACCTCCTATACCATTTCTTCAGTTCATGTTTGATAATTTTTATCAATAGTCTAAATATTTTCACTACTTTTTAAAATGCTCCTATATGCTTATTTTTACTGAGGACAAAGTTAAAAAAAATCACAAGAGAATTCTTTTCTATTGTCATATTAGTCAACATATTTGATTCTTTTTATTTAAAAAATCCAAATAAAAATGAACGACAAACCCTGAAGAGGCTTCTTAAAGGCCCTTAGAGCGATTATAAGGACTCAAAACCCATTTTATATTTATATATTATACAAAGTAGGATGGAGACGTTACTGGGCCCGCTCGAGCAAATCGATGAACAACGGGAGGACAGTGACAGTGACAGTGACAAAGTAGGATATAATGTATACTAAAGAATGAACTCTTAAGTTTTCTTAAATAGAAAATGTAAAATTTTTATGATTATATATGCAACAGAAATCATTGTTATAATTATATGCTTTTTCAGTTTTAGTGTTAATTTATTTCTTCAACTAACCTGTATATATTGAAATTCTAATATGTCTGTAACTGAACTTGAGGTTAAATACCCTCTGGTGAGTTATAATCTCTAGAAGGGAAAGTTCAGGTTTTGCAGAATAAAATAAGATCAGGAATCAACCAGATGAGGAGATGGAAATTGTTTCAGGCACATTATACTATAAGTGTGAATGAACAGGGAAGATAAAATCAAAAAGTTCAATAATGTGGGAGCCCTCCATTAGAGGCAGGTAAGAGAGAAGAGTGGGGAAAGCTAAGGCTACATGAATAAAAAAAAAAGGGCCTGATCATGCTGATCATGCATGTTGAGAGTTCAGATTTATAATATAAGCATTGGGAAGAGAGATGTAGTGGAATCCATAAAGTTTATCATATTCTGTTTGGTATCTCTTATTAATATTACTTAATACCCTATGCAAGTTTTAGGAAAAATGAAGTCATGAAATTAGCTTATAATTGGATGGACATGGAGAATATCATACCGAGTGAAATAATCAGAAGGAGAGGGACAGACACAGAATGATTGCGCTCATTTTGGGGATATAAGAAAACATAGGGTGAGACTAACATCCAAGGAGAGTAGTAATCAGGGCCAGGGAGATGGGTTAATGTTTGGAAATCTGTCTCAAGTACTGGGGGAAACGACAGTTGGGACAGAACCACTATGACAATGATAATTGTAAACAATTAATCTGCATAAAAATTGCATGCCAGGGGCTGGAGTGATAGCACAGCGGGTAGGGTGTTTGCCTTGCATGAGGCCAACCCGGGTTCAATTCCCAGCATCCCATATGGTCCCCTGAGCACTGCCAGGAGTTATTCCTGAGTGCAAAGTCAGGAGTAACCCCTGAGCATTGTGAGGTGTGACCGGAAGAGAAAAAAATTGTGGAAAAATAAAATTAAATTAAAAAAAAATTGCATGCCAAAAGTAGGGAAAGGAACTATCTCAGTATCTGTATTGCAAACCATAATGCTCAAAAAAAGAGACAAGAAGAAGGAACAAGGAAGAAGGGAGGAGCAAGAGGAAGAGGAGGAGGGGAAGAAGAAGGAAGGAGGAAAAAGGAGGAGGAGGAGGAGGAAGAAGAAGTAAAGAAGGAGGGGAGGAGGAAGTGGAGGAGGGGAGGAGGAAGTGGAGGAGGGAGAGGAAAAGAAGGAGGAGGAGAAGGAGGAGGAGGAGAGGAGGAAGAAACTGGGGGCATTGGTGGTGTAAGTATACACTGGTGAAGGGATAGGTATCAATATTTTATGACTGAAACCTGATCATGAACAGCTCTGTAACTGTGTATCTCACAGTGACTTAATAATGAAAAAATGTATTACCACACTCATTAGATTGTAAGGAATATGCTTGGAGTTCCTTAGAGTGAATTACTGTCACTATATAGTTTGACATCTTAATTCGAAAAGGATATTTTAATTCAGATGGTAATTTTAATCAAATGGCTAATCTATTGTAAGATCCCAACTTACAATTTGCTATAAAAGATATTGCTTAAAGTTTACAAATATTTTATGTTTTAGTAAACTGATACCAAGATGCTAATATAAAAGTAAAATTTTTAACTTTTCCCTTTGTTCTTCCTTCTCCAAATCTCTTCCTCTTTATTTTCCTACCTGGCATTAACAGAAGTGAGCAAACCAATTAAAATGCTCTGAGAGACTGCCATATTTTTATATTGTCATACTGAGTCATTATGATAATCCTTAGGGTATATGCTATTTTTAAGTTTATGTTAAACTTTATAACTGAGAAATTTAATGTAAAAAAATTTAGTAACTTACCTAAAGTCAAGCCAAACTCCTGAACTAGCACTGAAACATCTCATACTCTAGCATTTAAACTCAGCTGTTCTCTGTAACTACTCCCGTCTCCCTCCACCCCTAAAACAAATTTATCTAAAGGACATCTTTGTTTAAAATCAAATATGGGGAAACAGCAGCAGAAAGGAATGACAGAGGGGCAAGAGCTTTTAATCACTCAAGTAAGACATATTATTTATTATTTATAAGACACATTTTGGGATAGTAATATTTAATCAATACTAATAAATTGGGTCCTCATAGGTCAACTGTGCTCTTTTCATCAAACAGTCTCAGAAAACTACATGAATATTTGTTCCTATTGCTACTCATCCTGGCTCTGAAAAAATGGAACAGCACAAGAGGATAGAATCTGGGGCAAGTATGAGGTCTTGTGTGCTTGCCAGGAGCCAGATGTCTCTGCTAGGAGGAAAGAGAGACTCAGATTAGGTAACAAAATCATTTAGGAAAATCCCACTTCAACCTTGTTTCATCTGGACAACTGACAATCTAAAATTCATTAAGTGAATTAAAGATTCTTTCCTAATTGTTCTATCAGGATCTGCTGAGTTCCTTCAGAGATATCCAGAGGTGTCCAAAAGAACACTAAGATTTTACATTTTAATTTTCCTAATAAAGGACCCACCCATTATTTTCTTGTTACCCATTCTAGTAGAGCAAAACCAGTTCCATATGGCCCTGTAGTCCTTGTAAACATGTTCCATACTCCTGTTCCTACTACACTTGAAACGCATTTCTTCCGACCCATTACCTGAAGTTCTAAATAAAAAATATGACAATATTTCGAGAGAAGCTTTAGGGAGGAAATTATGGTCATTTGGGTGGAATCTCATCCAGCAAAACTTGGTGCTTGTAAAGAGAGGAAGGAATACCAGGAGCACATATGCAGAGAAAAGGGTCAGAAAAGGCAACAGTGAGAAGACAGTTGTCTGCAAGCTAAGGAAAGAGGACTCAGAAGAAAGCAGCCCAGCACTCAATTTGATGCTCCAGATGATACATTTCTATTGTTGAAGCTTCTGAGACTGTGGTACTTGGTTATGGAAGCCCTGGCAGATCAATCACGGCATGATGCTGTCACTCACTACCACCCATCTGACTGCAGCATATCGGCAAATATCTCCCTTGCTCATTCATGCTCTTATCAGCTTACATGCTCCATACAACTGCAATGTTAAGTTTAAGTTTGAGTATAAAAATTATGTCCTTGCCACCAAACACCACCACCAACTTTCCTTGGAGGGTGATAGCTGGAGAAGGAATACCTCCCCAAGCAAAGAAGCATGTCACTATCAGACGATTATTTAAATGCAAAATTGCTATACAATGAGGAATCAGTGTTCTTCACACATCAACAGCCCATATTCTAGTAGTGCAGTAATGACTTTCCTCCTCATACTTAAGGCACACAACAGAGTCACTCAGTCACTGCTGTGTGAATTTATCAGATTTATGGTCTCATCAGAAGATTTACAGGTTTACTCTCCCAAGCATCAGAGTATACACAGAGCACTTCTCTGTTTTATTCTGGCAGTGTATTCTGCATAAACTATACCCACTCTATTTTCATTTATGTTTTAAAACTGCCTATGTCAGGATAAAGATCTATAAAAAATGGGAAGATACATTTTTATCAAAAGATTTGTTTTGAATCAGTATTAGATTTTCCTCTTATTTTGGTGGGCTTTGTCATAAAAAATCTGTCTTGACCACTGTCTTAATGAGTATCTTCAATAATGTGCCATTTCTCACCACAGTGGTCTGGACAGATATAGGTCCAGACCTATGGCAGAATGTCCTCAGCAATATAATCCAGAAAAGTCATGAAATCTCTCTGCAACAGCAAGTTTAAAATCATGCACTTAAAGTTGATCGGTATAGCTTTTGCCTTGCACAAAAAAGGCCTTTTTTCTTTTCTTTTCTTTTCTTTTCTTTTCTTTTCTTTTCCTTTCTTTTAAACACCAGATACCTTATTGCCTTGCACAAAAAGGCCTCTTTTCTTTTCTTTTCCTTTCT